TCACGTATGATGGATCTCTGCACTCTGCAGATGTAAATGAGCCTCAGCTCAAGCAGAAGCCCCAGGGACTTGTTTTCTCCATCCAGGAGAATGAAAATCATCCCAACAAGTATGAAGTGTATAGTCTGAAGTGCAGCTTGCCTTGAAGTCAGATGATGCTTCTGCTGATGGATGGGGAAACATGACTTTGGATAGTTCAGAGAGCTCCAGACACAAGAAGAAAAATACAGAGGCTAAAAGAAAGAAAAAAGGGTGAGTCTGCTGAACACACTGAGATCCTCAGCCCTGCTCCTGGGGAAACCCATGGAGAGTCATAACATGGCTTGGGTTGGAAGGGACCTCAAGGATCATCAAGCTCCAACCCCCCTGCTACATGCATCCAGGTCCTCTAAGACAGGATCCTCTTGTGAGTGGAGCCAGTAGCATTCCCAAAAGCCAGCCCTCGTCAGCTCCTCTCTCCCAAGGGACGACACACCTGTGGTTTCATATGCAGTCAGTGAGTGAATGGCACGCGCCATGATCCTGAAAATGTGCTGTGGGACTGCATGGATGCATTGCAGCTTTCACAGAGATCTTTTTTTTTCTTCTTATAGACTCTGCAGGCAGATGGCTGGGAACAGAAAGGAGACTGGGCAGAAGCTCCAGCAATTCTCTTTCCATGGATATCATGGTATACACCTGGATATGGGCGGATCAAACATCACAGAATGGCTTGGGTTAAAGGGTGCCTTAAAGCCCATCAATTTCCAACCCCCCTGCTGTGGGCTGGCTGCCCAGGGCCCCATCCAACCTGGCCCTGAGCACCTCCAAGGATGGGGCACTGGCTCTCTGGGCAGCCTGTTATGATGTCAAATATGACATGAACCCGAAAGCACCAGATGAAAAAAAAAGATCAGGCACAGAAACAAAGGTGTTACTATAATTAACTTTTTCTTTTTATTTACACCACAAGAATAACAAGTTGTCATAATGTGGTACAAAATACTGGACTCCTAATAAAGTTGAAATTGAAGTCGGTACTGTCAGAGAAAGACACCATTGGCCAGTTTAAAAAAAAAAAAAACAACAACAAAAC